GGGTCATATCTTCAACCTCCTTAAACAGAACAACTGTCAGCCAAGAATTATGTATCCTGCAAAACTAAGTTTCATAAATGGAGAAATAAAGTTATTTTCAGACAAACAAATGCTGAGGGAATTTGTCACTTCCAAATCAGCACTCCAAGAACTGCTACAAGGAGTTCTAAACTTTGAAACAAAAGCTCAGTATACATCAAAATAGAACTTCTTGAAAACTGAAAACTCACAGGCCTGTGAAATAGTAACACAATGAAAAAAACATATCTAGATAACAACATGATGAAAAAAACAGCGCTTCATACTTCAATATTAACATTGAATGTAAATGGCCTAAATGCTCCACTTGAAAGATATAGAATGGGAGAATGGATTAAAAGATCACAATCCAAATATCCACTGTCTTCAAGGGACTCATCTAACACAGAAGGATTCATATACACTCAAGGTAAAAGGGTGGGAAAAGGTATTCCGTGCAAATGGGAATCAAAAGAGAGCAGGAGTAGCTATTCTTATATCAGGCAATGATGGGAAGGTGGGAGGTGTTGCCAATCCCTTATTATATCTTCCTCCCTTTGGAGTTTAGACACAACTGACCAGCATTAACATTAAAATAGTGATCTTAAGGCTGAGAAAACAGACTGTGGCAATAAGATGCCAAATTCCAACCTGAATCTGGTATAACATCACATGATAGATAGTGGGCCCCAGAGAAAATAAAAGTATTTTACCCTGAATTACATTTATTTGACATATTTTGAAATAGCCCTGCAAAGCTGTCTCTTGTTGGGGAAATTTACATTCTGTAGAGAATCTCTTTCCCTTACGAGGGCTCTTCAGGAGAGTCTGACACTTTTTAACCCATTGCCCATTCAGAAAAAAAAAGTGCAGCTTGCCAGTGCTCATACGATTTTATATAACATGCTTTTTGAAGCTGATGCAAATCTTGCTGATTTTCAATGTGAAAATAAAATATAAAAACTGTTCTTACAGTCATTTCTAAACAGAACTTGTCTCTAATCCTAATGCAACAGAAATGTATATGTTGCATTAGGATTAGAGACAGTAATATTCTCAGGGCAAACAGGAAATGGGTTAAGGTCCAATAAGAGATATTCACTTCTTTTCTCTTTGAAGGCTGCAAACTAGAGGCTTCATCTACATGACAGGGACCTTGGCTTCCACAATCCCACCCACTGCCTCCCACCTTAACTTACCTTACCTTAAATTAACTCAGGCTGACTTCAGCTCTTTAGGCAGAGCTTAACTCCTTCATCCAAATGCCACCCAGGACATCTCTGAATCCACCTATGACCTGGAAGCTCACCTCCCCCTGCTTTGAGATGTCCTGCTTTTCTGGGCTGAACCAATGTATATCTTACATGCATTGATTTATGTCTTTCCTTGTAACTTCTGTCTCCCTAAAGTGCATACAATTAAGCTGTAACCCAACTACCTTGGGCACATGTCCTCAGGACCTCCTGAGGCTGTGTCATTGGCCATGGTTCTTAACTTTGACAAAAGAAACCTCTAAATTGACTGGCTAAAATTCGAATAATTTTAGCAGGTGCCAATGTCTAGGGAATATCCCTGATTGCCTGGTCCTTGGGTGATTAGGGTGAGTGGATAGGGTCCCATAGTGTGAAGGCCTGATAAAGGAGGTGGTTGAGGTGTGGACTGTGAATTGGTTTGTTTGAAAAACACACTGTGGGCAAGTAGGTTTGAAAAGTATACTTCTCTAGGAATTGGCTAACTCTGCGAGTGGCAGACCCTCCAGGTTCAACAAGGCTTCAGATGTCAAATTATCAGAATACAAAAAATATAAGATGCTCTCTCTGCCTTTTAGAACTGCTGTAGCAAAATTTCTTAGTTGGAGTGGCTTAGAAACAATAGAACTTTATTTCACCTTTCTAGAGCTGGGAAGTTTAAGATGAAGGCACTGGCAGATTTGGCTTCTGGTGAAGACCCTCTTCCTGGTTCATAGATGGTGGCTTCTTACTGTGTCCTCACATGTGGAAGGGATTTGGGATCTCTCTGGGGACTCTTTTATAATAAGGGAACCAGACCAGGCGCGGTGGCTCAGGCCTGTAATCCTGGCACTTTGGGAGGGCGAGGAGTGCAGATTGCCTGAGCTCAGAAGTTTGAGACCATACTGGGCAACACGGTGAAACCCTGTCTCTACTAAATTACAAAAAAATTAGCCAGGCGTGGTGGCGTGCACCTGTTGTCCCACCTACTTGGGAAGCTGAGGCAGGAGAATTGCTGGAACCTGGGAGATGGAGGTTGCAGTCAGCCGCGATTGAGCCACTGCACTCCAGCCTAGGCAACAGAACAAGACTCCGTCTCCAATAAATAAATAATAAATAAATAAATAGGGCACCAGATCCATTTATAGAAGCAGAGAGTAGAATGGTGGTTGTCAGGGGTTGGATGTGGGTTAAATGGGATGATATTTGTCAAATAGTGCAAACTTTCAGCTGTAAGATGAATATGTTCTGGGGATAAAATGTATGGCATGGTGACTGTAGTTAATAATACTGTATTGTTTGCTTGAAATTTGTTAAGAAAATAAATTTTAAGTGTCCTCTTCCCTACAAATGGCAACTATGGGTGGTAAGGGATGTGCTATTTAATTTGACTGTGGTAATCATTACACAGTGCATATGTATATCAAGCCATGTCCTGCACCTTGAATATATAATTTTTATTTGTCAATCATACCTCAATAAAACTGGAAAAATGTCAAAAATTAGCTCTAAGTAAAAATGAGTTTCCCTAAAGACAGACCTTGTTTTTACCCTTGAGGCTTCTCAGAATCTCTATTACAAATTCTAGACATCCCAGATAAATTCTAGATGTTGCTTTTAGACAATGCAGTTTTCACTACTGAATGAGTAAGATTTCAGGGAGCGATATTCAGAAAGAATTTTGAAGACAGTTTGCTCCATATTGTGATGAATCCCTTCCCCATTTTGTTTCCATACAGATGGATTTGGTAAATACTTACATTATTTTTTAAAAAGCTTTGGATCTTGGAATTGGGTTTCTTTTGGAAGTGTCAATGTACAGAGACTAACCAAAGTTAGTGAATATCTGTTCAGGTTCCTTTAGCAAAGCTGGAGGGTGTGCATATAACATACACACTTTCTCTCAAAAGAATAACGTTTGCAGCTACCTTGGTTGTTACAGAGTTCATTTCCTGACAGGGTATATGGCTTGTCAACGGTAAGGTGAAGGCAGTGCAGGATTAGCAAATTTCTGTGCAAAGGAGCAGGGAGGTGGGATATGCCGGTTTAATATTGGCTATTGCGAATAATAGAGCAGAGTCTGAGGCATAGAGATTGCCTGGCCCTGATGTAATAGCCTTATTTTGATATCTTGTAGCAGTGGAAAGTTCTGTCCATGCAGGACTTAACCAGATTCCAGAGAGTACTTTCTAGCATAGAAACGTAGACTCTCTCCCTGGCTTTGGGGACCAGCTTTCTAATTAGTCTGTAAAGTGTCGTTACACCTCATTCTTCAGATTGTCAGCAGGCTAAATTGTTTCCAGGTTTCTCTTTATCTGTATGTGTAGAGAACTTGCACCCAACTAGGAGGAGTGGGATGAAAAGCAAGCCTAAGGCTGTCCAGGATGTTATGAGGCCAAAGTTTCAGAAGATTTGGTGCTCTTCAGGTAGGGACCCCTCTGCCTCTCTCAGAGTCTGACAGTTTTCCTGGCCATGTCTGGATGCATTATTTACTCTGCACACTTAGTAACCATAGCTACAATTCCAGGCCATCTCTGATCCCATTCAATTTTAACCAAACTTCTCTACAGTCTACATAGGGAATCTGGGCCTCTGAGAGGAATCATTCTACTGGATTTTTAGTATCTTCCTCTCCCAAGACACCAACACTGAATTTACTCAAAGGGGTTGGACATTTGCTGGAAGTACAGAACTCCTTACAGCCCCTCATGCTTTTTCACCCTCTGTTCTCTTTTCATCCCTTCCCAGCAGCCATGTGTGGTTGGGCAGGCAGTACTAAGACGCTGTATCCTTATCCTTCTACCAGATCAGCAACTGGCTATTGTGGCAAGAGCCCCACACTCTCACTCCCACATCATTAGAGAGCCTGAGCTCTATCCAGCACTGAAGATCATGAAAGTTGCTCCACAACCAGAATCTACTCTCCTTTGCCACCCACTCTTTATCCTGAGCAGCAGATACAGAACTCACACATTCATGCATCCATTAGCGTGAATGCTGTTGAAAAATCAGGCAAGAATTCACCAGTGTAGCCAGTAGGGCCAGCAGCACCACGACACAAGTTGCTACGTTTTCCTGTTACACCTTCATAAAGTTGACTGGTAAAGAAAACCATGAGTCCAAATGGATTTAGGCAGTTTATTAGTTACACATATAGCAAAGCAAGATCAACATGGTGTTAGCTCTTAAGCCACAGGATGACACCCATCCAGAGGGGTCAGATGACGGGCAGCAGAGGTTGGTTGCTAAGGAACCAACACTAAACCACAGGACAGCAGTCTTATAGCCTGTAGCTGAACCCTGGGGGCTCAGGTGGGAAGTTCCATTGCTCAACTGAAACTAGGGAAGTGGATGAGAAATTACCCTGTGCCAGCCCATCACAAGATGGCCTTTCTTCTTCTGTTTCAAAGGAACTTCAGGGTCAGACTCAGCCCAGACTTGGGCCAGCCTATAGTTAAGCTCTGCCTATGTGGTTTATGTGAGAGATGTACAAGGTTGTCAGAAGGCCATGGCAAATCTGCTTCTCTAAAGTCGGGAATTTCACAGAAATGGGAAATGGGAAGCTGAAGAGAAGGTAGGACACGACTTAGGTGTCAAAAGTTGTTTCTCTTGAAGCCTCTCTAAACAAGAAGAATATCCTCTATGATTAGAGGGAGAAACAGGTGCTGATGAGCACACTGGACATCACTTTGAAGTGATAAAATATCTTCCACATTGTTTTTCTGAAAAACCTAGCTCTTTTAAAGAAGGTTACAGCTCAGCTCTTTAAATTTAAGACCGTAAGAGTCTGCTGGCTTATAAAAATGCTAAAAACCAGTAGTCATGGACACAACATGGTGTCACAGTTTGGTCTAAATTCCCTGGTTTTGTGAAAGATGGCAGTATCAAGGGCCTTCAGGATAGTGTCCATTCGCTGGTTTCTCATGTCAGGGTGCAGGATTTCCTGTGACACAGCACTCCAGCTGAAACATACAGTAGGCAACTAGCATTTCACTCTCATAGCATTCAAGTCTGCAGATGCCATTTTTATAGCATTTCTTGTGCATTTCTGATGGTAATGAATTTATACCTGGAAGGAAAATTAATAGAAAGATAATTCACTACAGGCCTTTTTGGACCATAAAATTACTAGTCCCTCAATTTTTATCCAAGTGGATTCTTAGGAGATTTGGTTATGATAATTGATCCTGAAACTGAAAAAATTAATTAGTGGTAGGGGCTGAATTGTGTCACCCCAAAATTCATATGCTGAAACCCTAATCCCCGATGTGACTGTCTTTGGAGACAGGGCCTTCAGGAAGTAATGTAAGTTAAATGAGGTCATGATGGTGGAACCCTAATCCAATAAGATTGATAGGCTAATCCAATAGGATTGATGGTCTTATTAGTGAAGGTCACAGCAAAAAGATGGCCATCTACAAGCTTGGAAGCAAGCCCTCATCAGAAATGGAATCAGCTAGCACCTGGATCTTGGTTTTCCCATCTTCTGGAACTATGAGAAAATAAATTTTGTCTAAGCCACAGTCTGCGGAATTTTGTTATGGCAGCCCAAGCTGACTAAAACAACTAATAACTTGGAAGTTTCCCTTAATTGGTCAATGAATAAAACCCAAACAATCAAGCTAACTATTCACATAGTCATTCACTCATTATTTTTTAAATAATTACTTACTCATTATTATTCATAAACCAATTTTTATAAATCCTGTGAATCAAGGACAGTTGGGGTACAGATTTGAGTGTGATATAGACCTTAACCTCAGTGAATTTTCATTCTAGACAAAAAGAGAAGAAATACAAAATATCTCTGAGAGACAAAAAAACATGACAAGTGCAATGATGTATTTGCAACATGGAATGGTCTTGTGAGTTTGGAGGAGGATGAAATCAATTCTGAAGATTTAAGAAGTCTTATTGAAGCTCAAGGAATCTGTGGAAATTTTGAGCAAACACACACCCTATCTGAGTCATAATGACCTGGAGGATAATTGTCCTACAGGAACAAGAAGGGATCAGTGTTACTTAGTTGGCAAGACAGAAGCCCTAGAGGACAATCTGTAACACTTTTGGGAAGATGAAATATAACAGTCTATAAAATGAGACAAGAAATTTCTATGGAAATGACAAGTTAGGAGAATGCAAAAGGAATTGAAAGAATATTACACACTAGATGGGGTTCTTTGTCTGGAGGCTACAAATCCATTGCCATAAACCATGGTGGAATTGGTTCCATCAACAACTTTAAGAGGCTGTGATCCCATGAATTCTTAAATTTAGTCTGGTGAGTCACATGACCTGAACATCTAATTCATTTGCCTGGAGAATACTTCAGGTGAATACTTCAGTCCGTCTAGGCAGATGAACCAATCTGACTGCACTGATTCAGTAACACTGAGTGAAAAGAATTTTCAAGGTGAGATTTCTAAAGTCAGAAAGGGTATGGTGAAGCTAGAGCACAGGGCCACTCGGCCACTCACACTCTCTGTCATATCTCCCTGGCTACTCTCATCTGATCAGGCATTTCTTCTATCACAGAAAGCTCAGTGATTCTCTTGAAACTAGAAGTTCTAAATCTGTTTCCTCATGTAACTAATGGATGCACAAATAGTAAATTAACTGTAGGAAATTTCAGTATATTAGAAAATGAACAAATTGTGTTCACTGTTCTCTGGTTTTGACTATTAGATACATTCTTGAATTAGAGACAAAATACAGCAGGAAAATAGGATGGGCATTACTGATGAAAATACAATGATAGCTCTCATGAGCCAGGTACTTTTCGTATTATGTATAGACATATTCCATACATGATCTGATTTAATCCTTGTAAGACTCTTCATTTCCATTTTTTAAAGGAAGAAACTAAGGCTCATTGGTGCTGATCAGTTCAACCAAAAAAGAAAAACATAAAATAAAATAAAAAAGAAACTAAGGCTCAGAGAAGCTTAGACCTTTGTCCAAAGTTATATAGTTAACAAGTTGGAGAGCCAGATTCAAGCCCAGGTCTTGCTGACATCAAAACTGGTTGATGCTTTTTTCTACTTTGAAAATTAAAGGGACCATGGGAGGAGTATGTTTATTGGGTTGTTTAGTGGAATTGTTCTTCTATATGAAGCACCCCTACCCCCCAAAATATGCCAGTTTTACCTGCCAGCACTGGATCCCAAAGGAAAAGAAAGACAAGCATAATAAGGAGAGGCTTCATGGCCGGGAGCTTCTGTTGCGGAGGCTAGTGGCAGGGTCTGACATTGGCTGTCAGGGAATAGAGAGAAGAGATTGAGCACATAGTCCTGTACAGAACTCTCAGGCCTGGGGTATGCCTCGCTTCAGGTAGATATGCTACACTGAACACCCCTGAGGCAGCTGTGTTGGCAATGCTCATCTGAGGACAAAAATGGACAGCCCTTTCTAGTTTGACAGCTTTTCCTATTGACAAAGACACTGTTCTCCCACCCAGGTTTCCCAAAAGTACTCATGGAGGCCTGAGAACTATGTGCTGTTACTCTTTTAAATGAATGAAATTAAAATTTGATAAGCTTTTGTTACAATAAAAATGTAAATGCTAATTTTAGAAAATTGGTAAAATAGTAAACATGACAAAGATAGACGTTACACTTGAACTTCACTTCTCAGAGACAAACTGTGTTTCTTAAGAAAGTTTCATCTATGCCTAGTTTGTTGTTTAACATTTTGTTTTACATAGCTATAAACAATATTCTTTTTTTTTTTTTTTTTTTTTGAGACGGAGTCTCGCTCTGTCGCCCAGGCTGGAGTGCAGTGGCCGGATCTCTGCTCACTGCAAGCTCCGCCTCCCGGGTTCCCGCCATTCTCCTGCCTCAGCCTCCGGAGTAGCTGGGACTACAGGCGCCCGCCACCTCGCCCGGCTAGTTTTTTGTATTTTTTTAGTAGAGACGGGGTTTCACCGGGTTAGCCAGGATGGTCTCGATCTCCTGACCTCGTGATCGCGATCCGCCCGTCTCGGCCTCCCAAAGTGCTGGGATTACAGGCTTGAGCCACCGCGCCCGGCCTAACAATATTCTTATAATTAGGTATCCTGCTTTTGTAACTTGATATATACTATATATCAGTGTCACTATAAACTTCATAAATAGTATTTTTAAGTGTTGCACAATATTTCATCAAGGTCATTTAAAATAATTGTCACTATTTAAACAATTTTTAATTGAAGTATAAATGACATACAAGAAACTTCAAATACTAAAGTGTAAAATTGGATAAGTTTTGCCATATCTATACTTTTGTGAAACCATCGTCACCTTCAAAATAATGAACATATCCATTTCCCTTAACATTTTTTCGTGCCTTTTGTAATATTCCCCTCCTGATTATCTTTCACCTCTCAGTTAACTTTTCTGCTGACACTATAGATTACTTTGTATTTTCTTGGAATTTCATGTGAATAGAATAATATATTCTAATATATTCTATACTCTTCCTCATTGGGTTTCTTTTACTCAGCATAATTATTTGAGATTCATCCTTGCTATAATGTGAATTAGTTGTTCATTCCTTTTCATTGCTGAGCACCACTGCATGGATATACATCTATGTGTTTATCCAGTCACCTATTATTGATGGACGTTTGATTATTTCCAGTTTTTTGACTATTGTAAATAAAGCTGTTATGGACATTCATGTACAAGTCATGGTATGGATATATGTTTTTATTTTTCTTTTGCAAATATTCGGGAGTAGAAAGGCTGGGTCACAGCTGTATGTTGCCATCAAGAGATCCATCTCACATGCAATTACTTTCATAGCCTCAAAGTAAAGGGGTGGAGAAAGATATAGCAAGCAAATGGAAAAGAAAAAGAACGGTGGTTGCTATTCTTATTTCAGACAAAACAGACTTTAAAGCAACAATGATCAAAAAGAACAAAGAAAGGCATTACAAAATGATAAAGGGTTCAATTCAAAGAGAAGACTTAATAATCCTAACTATATATGCAACCAACATTGGAGCACTGGGATTTATAAAACAAGTTATTAGAGAGACCTATAAAGAGACTTAGATAACCACACAATAATAGTGAGAGACACTGACACTCCACTGACAGTGTTAAGCAGATCATTGAGGCAGAAAACAAATAAAGATATTGAGGACCTAAACTCAACACTTGACCACATGGACTTGACAGACATCTGTGGAGCACTCCACCACACACCAACAGCATACACATTCTTGTCATCTGTACATGGCACATACTCTAAGATCAACCACATGCTTGGCCATAAAGCAATTCTTAACAAATTAGAAACAAAAAGAACTCATACCAGGAACATTCTCAGACCACAGTGCAATAAAAATAGAAGATCTCTCAAAACTATACAAGTACATAGAAATTAAACAATATGCTCCTTAATGACTTTTGGGTAAAGGATAAAATTAAGGCAGAAATCAAGAAATTGTTTGAAACTGGGCCAGGTGCAGTGACTCACACCTGTAATGCTAGCACTTTGGGAGATTTAGGAAGGTGGATCGCTTGAGTCCAGGAGTTTAAGGCCAGCTTGGGCAACGTGGTGGGACCCTGTCTCTACAAGATTAAAAAAAATTAGCCAGGTGTGATGGTGCACGACTGTAGTCCCAACTACTTGGGAGGTCAAGGTGGAAGAATTGCTTGAGCCTGGGGCGTTGGGACTACAGTAAGCTGTGGTTGTGCTACTGCACTCAAGCCTGGGTAATAGAGTGAGATCCTTTCTAAAAAGAAAATAAATTTAAAAAAAAAATAAACACAATCAGAAATGAGAAAGAGGATATTACCACTGACCCCACACAAATGCAAAAATCCCCCCGAGACTATTACGAGCATCCATACGCACATATACTACAAAGCCTAGAGGAAATTAATAAATTCCTGGAAACGTACAATCTCTCAAGATTGAACTAGAAAGAAACTAAATGCTTGAACAAACCAATAATGAGATCTGAAATTGAATCAGTAGTAAAAAATCTACCCAACAGAAAAAGCCCAAGGCAGGAACCTATCATTTCTACGTTAGGTTCCTACCTTGGTTTCAAGTGAACTCCAGTTGGAAGTTCACACTAAAATTGACACAAGAGGTGCCTGGTCATAACATGTCCAATTTTTTAGCAACCAGCCAGTGAGGGCATGGGTTTATGAAAAGCAGGTATGGGAGTATAAAGGTCATAAACAGTATAAAGAATTACTGGCTGAGGCTCCCAAACAAGCCAGCGATCACTCTGAGAAACAAAAGACCTGGAAACCTCAACCTCAGAGAGGACATACTCAATGGGATATTGGCATTGCCCATGCAAAGAAAGCATTGAATATGACTCAAGAAGAAATAACAAAACAATATACTTTTATCTATGTTGGTAAACAGCTGGAAGAATCTTTAACCCAAGCACAAACAATGTTGCTTACAAAGCCAAAGTTAAACAACCCAAAGACTATTATAGTGCCATATTTTTTTCCCCAGAAAGGACTATTACTATTATTCTTCCACTATTGATAAGGACCTGGTTCACTGACTAGTTCCCCAGCTACCAGCAATTCCTGATTTTACTTAAATATCAGAACAGGGCAGCCTCTGAGTTTTGCTCTAAGAGGTAAAGAATAATTTCAACAACTGTCAGAGATCGTCTCTTGTTTTCTAGACCTCCCCTGGCTCAGTGTCTGGTTCACTGTAGGTGCCATGAGTTGGGAGCTGACATAGTTCATAGACTTTGGAGATAAAGAGGGGAGATCTACGCATCATTTAAAAACAAGTTTGTGGTTTACCAGCACACCAGCTTTTTATTTTCACCCATATATTCCCCTAGGGCCACACGGTGCTCTGGGATTAGAAAATGGAGAAGTCCGGTATGCTCCATGCTGGGACTAGATGGCTCTTTCTTCTACCTCCTGGGTTTGGTATTTCCTTAGGGTCTCTTCTCATCTTCTTGATCTGTGGTGGTTCTGCAACTGCCATACTCTGAGCAGCAATTGAAATGGCCCTGTCTGACCCTCAGCCTTACAGATTCCATATGCAGCGTTTCCAAATGACACAATTCCAATAAAGAGAAATGTATTCTAGCCAACAGTGGGAGATGGAAAAGGAAGCAGTTTCTGTATCCTCTGTGAAGAGATGGTCCTCTTTCCCATTACACATTTTCAGGGCACCAACTCCTTTTGTTTTATAGCACTTGTCACATTGTAACTATATAAATTATTTGTGTCTCTATGATTAGACTGTGAGATCCGAGTACAGATTCCATGACCGTCTTATTTATCATTGTACACCAGTATTGGGCTCACAGTCTAGCAGGCCATCAGTGCCAAAGGTATATTTGTTGAATAAGTAAATGAAATCTAGATGTTAGGTTTATACTTTAACTTTACAATATGTAGTAGTTCTCCCTTATTCATGGGGCTATGTTCCAAGACCCCTAGTAGATGCTTGAAACAGTGGGTAGTACTTAACTCTATATATACTGTGCTTTTTTTCCATACATGTAGACCTATGATAAAGTTAAATTTATAAATTTGGCACAGTAAGATTTTAATAACAATAACTAATAATAAAATGGAACAATTATAATAATATGCTATAATAACAACACTATAAAAGTTATGTGAATGTGATCTCTGTCTCCCCAAAAATATCTTATTGTGCTCTGCCCACTCTTCTTCTCGTGCTAATATAAAATGATAAAATGCCTGTGTGATGAGATGAAGTGAGGAAAATGACATAGGCATTGTGACATAGCATTAGGCTACTACTAATCTTCTGACCATATGTCGGAAGGAGGATCATCTGCTTTAGGTGATCCTGGGTCACTGAGCCATGATGATGTCAATGGCTGGATCTCAGAAGCAGCTGATTTCGATAACTAGTGGGCAGGTAGTCTTTATAGTGTAGATACACTGGACGAAGGGACGATTCGCATTCTGGGTGCGTGGAGCTGCGTGGTGCAAGATTTTGTGTTACTCAGAACAGCATGCAATTTAAAACTTATGAATTGTTTATTTCTGGAATTTTGTATTTATTTATTTATTTATTTTGAGATGGAGTCTTGCTCTGTCACCCAGGCTGGAGTGCAGTGGTGCGATCTTGGCTCACTGCAACCTCTGCCTCCTGGGTTCAAGCAATTCTCCTGCCTCAGCCTCCCGAGTAGCTGGGATTACAGGTGCCTGCCACCATGCCCAGCTAATTTTTGTATTTTTAGTAGAGACGGGGTTTCACCGTGTTGGCCAGGCTGGTCTCGAACCCCTGACCTCAGGTGATCCACCCATCT